ATTCTTTCAGCCTCAGTGAGGCTGTTTGTAGAGCAGATAGAGCTTCTTCCATAACAAACCAGATTCTTTCTCCAGGTTTATTCATAACATGTTACGGTTTAACCAAAGTGTGTAATTAGTTAAACCCGGATTATTTTCCATTATTGTCAGTAAGGAGGAAGGATCAGAACAGGATCAGAACAGGATCAGAACAGGATCAGAACAGGATCAGAACAGGGCTGATTACTATGCAATAAAGGCCGTATGAACGGTTCTCTCTTTGTAAAAATGTAATAAAAAGCCGACTGAGTGAAATCCATCTATCTCCATTCATTTAACTGGTGTGAACGGTTGAATACTTTCGTTCCGGTTTCTGCTCTCGTTGCAGCAGGGCAGCTAATTTACCCTCTGATGGACGATAAAAGACATTTCTGTTTTAAAGTTTAGAAAGTCTGAGGTTTATTTTCTCCCTGACGACGTGCCGCAGGACGTAGCGCCATCACAGAACCAAGGGGTCATGTGATGTCACCCCATTTGGAGCAGGACTGCCTGTTTGGGCAGCGCCATGGTCAGAGTCATTAGAGGCATCTGTTAACCGTAATTAACCTGAAGAGAAATAATTGCATTGGGGACCTGGAGGCTGCAGTGGTTCTCTGATGTTTACCTATTAATTGGCTGCTTGCTTCATTCTGCCGGCTGATTAATCTGGGAACTAATTACAGTCGCCATGCCGACGCTATTGGACACTTGACAGGAGAACGGGGGGGGGTTGGGTCGGAGTGTGGAGTCCAGGACAGATGGGAGGACGGCAGACGGACAATCTTCATCATCATCACCATCATACTCTTCATCACCATCTTCATCATCCTCCAGCCTGAAGCTTCCCCTCATTGGTTTCATTTATATTTTATCCTCCAATCATCTCTGAAACTTTGCTTCTTTCATTCAATTCATATTAATATAATCTTTAATTTTGATAGAAATATTTGGTGAAGTTCCTTTTAAAGAGCCTCTGCTCCCAGCGTCTGATTGGCTGCCCTCCACAGAGTTCATGCCGGACCTGCAGCGCGTTCTGGACGCTGCAGCGCCGCCATATTTTCCTGTGAAGGAGGAGGAGTAATTGGACTCCCATCATTTTCTTTCCCGCTGTGAAACCAACATGGCTGCCAGCCAGACCCACTGCTATAAAATACAGCAAACAGTCTGATACTGCAGGCCGCTGGAAGGATCAACCTCACCTGCTCGGCTGGAGACCAGCCGTCTGTTAACAAAGGGTTCATTTTCTGTGCAAACATCAGCAGAGCTTCCTGCTGGCTTCCCAGTTTCCTGATGAGGAGTCATCCTGAGCAGCAGCTGGATCAGCATCTCCACGCTGTCATAGCCTTCCTCTCTACTGACCACGACTGACCATTACTGACCATTACTGACCATGACTGACCATTACTGACCATGACTGACCATTACTGACCATTACTGACCATTACTGACCATTACTGACCACGACTGACCACGACTGACCAATGCTGACTACTACTGACCATTACTGACCATTACTGACCACGACTGACCACGACTGACCAATGCTGACTACTACTGACCATTACTGACCATTA